CAATGTACACTATCATTCAAGAGGTTTGGGGTCAGTAAGAATTTGTTTTGATAGAAATTATTATTTTTCAGCAAGGGTGCATTAAATTGATCAAAGGTGACGGTAAGGATATTTATATTGTTACATAAATTTATTTTCCAAATAAATGCTGTTTTTAACCTACATCAAAAAATCCTGACAAAATATCCTAATTTCCACAAAAATATTTAGCAGCACAACTGTTTTCAACACTGATAATAATAAAAAATGTTTCCTGAGCACCAAATCAGCATGTTAGAATGATTTCTGAAGGATCATGTGACACTAAAGACTGGAGTAATGGCTGCTGAAAATTCAGCTTTGCCATCACAGGAATAAGTTACATCTAAAACTATAAAATGGTTATTTTAAATTGTAATAATATTGCACAATTTTACTGTATTTTTGATCAAAAACATAAAAAAACATTATTTCAAACTGTAGTGTAATTTCTCATTGTGGTTGAAATATGACCTGTGCATGTTCATATCAGGTTTCACCCAATGATATTGTTTATCTTACAATAGGCTACTTGTTTCTGAGATGTTATATTTTTTATGTTTGCAGGTTATGGTGCTGCATGAAGTCTCAGGGTGGACAGGTTAAGTTTGGTGCATTACTAATGCAGCAGGCTGATGTGTCTGCTCTGTTACTGATCGAGGCCCTGACACTCAGCTTGCCTCAAAGTCTACTGCAGACCTACAGTTTATTCACCCTTCACCCTGGCTTTCTGTCACCAGGTACACAACTACAGAACACACCTAGCGTCACATAAACAGTTTTCTGTGGAAGTAGTAAATTAGTCAGTGACTATGATTGAATGAGTCACTGAGCAATAAAAAAAAGATTTGTTGTGCTTTTGTAAATGTTATGGTAACACAAGACGTACTGTACGATGTAATTGTGAATTAATCATTCTTGCTGTCCACAATACTTAAAGTTCATCCAAAAATGAAAATTTGCTGAACTTTTACTCACCCTCTGGCAGTTTTTGAAACAGATTTTGAGAAATTACAGCATTATATATCACGTGTTCACCAATAGATCCTCTGCAGTGAATGGGTGCCGTCAGAATGAGAGTCCAAACAGCTGATAAAAACATCACAATAATCCACACAACACCAGTTGATCAAATGATGTCTTGTGAATTAATGTGTCCTGGCTCTTCTATCCATAATATTGCTTTCTCCAGTAAAAAAAAGTATGAACCAGGAGAGAAATTTGTGCAGATCAAATACCACTCACAAGCGATAACAGTCCTAAACAAATATTTTGGTGAATTCTGATGTGAGAGGAAAACGGGATTTAATGTTTTCACTGAAGGAAGCATTGTTATAGATTATGGACTGGTATATTGTCTAGAAGCGGCTGTTTAAAGTTAAAATGCCTAATGATGGATTTGTTTATTATAAACATGCAGCTTTTCACTTCACAAGATGTTAATTGATGGACTGGAGTCGTGTGGATTACTTGTGGATTACTATAATGTTTTTATCAGCAGTTTGGACTCTCATTCTGACGGTACCCATTCACTGCAGAGGACCTATTGGTGAGCAAGTGATGTAACGCTAAATTTCTCCAAATCTGTTCCGATGAAGAAACAAACTCATCTACATCTTGGATGGTCCGAGAGTAAATTTTCAGCCTTTTTAAAATATTTTTGGGTAAACTGTTCGTTGAATCAGTTTCCCTGGATCTCTTTAAACTTTTTTACAGTGGTCTTATGTGTCGGGCTGAGCCTGCTGAATGTGTCCTGGTTTCTGGTCCTGTACAGCCGCTCATGCTTTCTGCTCCGTCCTGGTCACTTGCACATGACTCCCGCTGCAATGCTGTGCCAGCTCATATGGAGAGGGGGCATGCTGGGTGCCAGGGTGGCCAGCCTCATGTTCTTCTGCAGTATGTTTCACTGGTGGTCCTGTGGAGTCGTGGGTGAGTCAAGCTATGTGTTTTTGTGTAGACAAATCCTGCACACACAAAAGCTTTCATAGTTAGCTCGCGTGACAGCCCTGAGTGCTTTTAAGTAATTTGTCATTGTCCAACTCTTACCTGGAAAGGGATGACTTGTTAATAAATGGCTGCTTTGTGGTTGTCTCTTTAAATCCCTGCTCAGGTTTCCACTGGCTCATTATGACATTCTGGCAAGTGTCCCAGCAGACAGATATCTGCATTAACCGTGCTTCCTGGCGGCTCTTCAACTTCATCTTAGGGTCAATGCACATTTTCGTCTTCCTTAACGTTAAAGATGGGCCCTCTCGGTACCGCATGACTGGATTCTATTTGGTTGGTCTCACTGCACTGCAGTGTTTTTTCGTATTATTTATATACTTTTTTTAGTATTTATTAACATTTTGTATTAGCTTTTGTTTGCGGTTTTCAAGTTTTAGTAATTTTATTATGTTTTTGTGATTTATATTATTTTTTAATTATTTAAAAATATATTTTTAAATTTATATATTTAATATATTAGGGGTTGAACGACTTCTGGTTTTTTAAAGTCTTTTACAATCTATGCTTTTATGTGATGAAAGTCGAGTCGACGTTGACTAGTCGTTGATATTTGTTATTTTGTTTTCAGAATTGTGATTTGCTTTGCACTTCTCGGCCACCGTACTATTGCTACTACAACAGCTCATTTTTATCAGTTCTTTTATCTTTGGGTCGTTATATTTCTCACAGATTTCTGCTCGTTCTAAATCAGATACAGATAAAGTAGCACAGTAATGATTACATTAATATGAATGCATTTGTGAGAGCGATTGCGTGTGTGAATTAATTCTACCTGGCAGCGTCTCTCTACTAGTAGTGAAGCTGTGGGATTTATTTATTAAGAGATATATGCTAGAACTTTTTAGTTTCTAAGTTATTTTACTGAGAAATCACAGAACAGTGTTGACAATACATTTCCGCGCTGAATGTTTCTGTGTGCGGCTGTGCGCGTGATCTGCACGTGATGTACGAGCTACTGTCTGAAGCCTATGTGTGTGCGTTACAGTGCAGCAGCGCATTAGATTAGAACAGCGATTAATTTACCTGTACAATAAGCTGTTTAAAACGTGTATTCTGCAATTTCGAGCATCCAGTAATATAATATAATCTTGTGGAGCGCTTTCGGAGTATGCATTTATTTGTCATTTTAACTGTTTGGAAACGGAGCGTAAATGTGGAAGTCCTTCAAAGATTTCTTATCCTGTTGCGCCCGCTATAGGACCAGCGACTAGTCAACGTCAAGCTTAAAGCGTCATGGCACTGCGGATGGCAGAACATTAAAGTTGACTAGTCGATTAGTCGGTGCAACCCCATTTAAATATTCATATTTACCTTTTAGCTTTTATTTGTATTTAATTTTTAGTTTTGATGATTTTAGTACTTCACTTGGCAACTTAGATTTTTCAATTTGTTGCAAAAAGTACATTTCTAATTTTCATTCAAGTTTTTTATTCAATATTTAATAATTTAATTTCATTAATAATTTAATTGTAATCATTTGAATCTATCTATCTATCTATCTATCTATCTAGACAAATATCTATCTATCTATCTATCTATCTATCTATCTATCTATCTATCTATCTATCTATCTATCTATCTAATATTTTATTTTAGCTTTATTTCAATTGATGAAAATGCTTTTTAATAGTTTTAGATAACAATGCACTGTCAGTAATAAAAGTGTATGGGCAAATCTTCAGAATATTGTAACATTGTGCAAAATATTTAGAAAACTGCCAGGAGTGTGTGAAATGCTGCAAGACTGTTTTCACTTTTATGCTGGTGACCATTTTAGATAATTAATCTCCTCTCATGAAAAATAGCTTACATCTTTGTTAACATACAGTTTTTATTTCTGTCTACTGATTTCAAAGATCACTGATCCAGATCTTTTATCTGTGTTGTAGTTAATGTTGCTGGAGAACACGTTCCTTCTGCTTTTGGCGTCAGACTCGCTCAGTGGGATTTCGTGGGACAGCACGAGTGTTCCTCTGAATGTCTTATGCAGCTTCCTTATCGGTAAAGATTATGCTCTAATCTTAAAATGCCTGATCTTGATAATCATTATAAATATATTTGTCTTAATAAATTAAAAATTAAGACTAAAAAAACTAAAATCAATTGTTTTAAATGCTATAATCTCTATATTATAATCAGTGCTGGGTGGTAACCAATTACATGTAATCTGGATTACATAATCATGTTCCAAAAATTAAATCCTTGTAATTTGATTACAGTTTTTCTCAATCGTTTTGGTGCATTTCTCGAATCGTCCTCAAATATTTGCAAAGTATGTGCATTTTTCAAAACAATTCGTACAAACAGCACCACACAATGGATTTCCTGCAAAAGCCTGTAACTTACTCAAAATCTTTAGTTCATCTCTCAAAAGTAAGCATTTATGTCAATTTACATATCAGTGCTATCAGAATGAAAAGTCCTTGTGTCATTGTTCACAAACAAGATTTGCTTAGTCATGTTGTCAATATAACAGTGCACTCTATGCCTGATGTAAACTATGGCAACAGTTTGGATGACAATTACTGTACTGAAATGCAGAAGGCTGCACTTCTTATGTATGCCATATATCCATTTCAAATGTACAAATTTACACACTACTGTATGTGGGTTATTGATTGAAAGAGACTGTTAAGAAACGTTTGAATTATTGAGGATGTGGTCGATCTCCCAATATTTAGCTGCACCCTTCAGCCATTGTAAGGCCATGATTGACAACAAGGTCCACAATAGTGGCCCTTATTTCATCTGATATGTGCCTCTGTCCTTGGCCTCTTCTGCCTCTTCCTCTGTTTTGCCTCTGTACCCTTCCACCATGCAACCTTACTCCTCTTCTTCCACCTTTGATGCACCTTTGAGCTATTTCAGAGAACTGGTTTATAATTGGTTGATCTGAAATGTGTAGAAAATATGCTTGACAGTTTATGACAACTAGATCAACCATTTTGCTTTTAATTGCTTATACGATGAACTAAAGACTAGATGTTTTGAGTGGTAAGACTATTGCACAGAGAACTATATAATACATTTTGAGCAACATGACATTAGCAACTGATAATGTAGGAAACCGCAAACAAATATACATAATCATTTGCATAAATGTACCAAAGCAATTGCAACTTGTTCAAAAGAATGAGAAACTGCTTTTATGATGTGCACAAGTGACTAGATGATATGGAGGTTGAACAAGTAGTTTTGAGAATTTAATTTCTGATCTGAGAAATGCACCAAAGCCACTGAGAAAAACTGTATATTACATTTGAAAATACTCATAATAAGACTACAGATATTTTTGATTAATTACATGATTACATATTATTCACATGGTCACATGACATGCAGGTATAATATTTGAATTTACGATTATGATTTAATTTATTAATAGATTTTCATTAAACTCACAAACCCCCTGCAGTTTGTTTCAGTTTTGGAAACTTTGATGTAATATAATGTTTAATGCACTTAATGTTTTTAATAACGAATGGAATATATCTTCTTTGTATTTTTATGTCAAAATAGTACAAGATTATCCTGTTTAAAGCAATGTGATATACAAGTTAGGTCAAAAGTAATCTAAAAGTAATCAAAAAGTAGACTGATTATATTCCCTGAAATGTATAATGTAATTGATTACATTACGAACGACAATTTCTGGCATGTAATTTGGAATCAGCACTGATTATATTGTAATGTATGAAAAATGGATATTCATTCTGAGATTTACTAATGATTATATTTAAAGGGATAGTTCACCCAAAAATGAGGGTCAGCTTTCTGACCCTAGACAGCAATGGAACTACCACGTTCAAGGTCCAAAAGTGTAGTAAGGACTAGGGCTGTCAAAAAACAATTCGAATTTCGAATATTCGTCGAATTTAAAATAAAAATCCACATTCGAAAGCAAAAACGTTGCATTCGAATTTTAAGTGTGCGTTAAGGAGGCAGCCTTATCAGTGGCGCACGAGATGCGATGACGATGTAAGTGTCATTGCATTTTAATGTTTTTGTTAGCCTATGCAGTTGAAGCCACTAGATGCAGCGCTGCTGCCTTGTTAATTACAAATATTGCGGGAAAAGAGAACATCAATGTGGAGAAGATCTTGTTTACGTCAAAACTGAAACCAAGCCGTTCACACAGAATGTATATTTCGCACATTTTCTAGAGGGGCATCTATCACCGCTGCACTCGCACAAAAGAGCCGCATATTTAGAAAGCCATGTAAAGTTAATGCAAGTTCAACTTTGAAAAAACTTATCTCGAGACTTTATGGCAGGGTTTTTTCCTCATCCCACTGCAACTCGTGTTTTTAAATGAAAAATTTACTCTGTGTGATTGGCTTTCGGCCCTTTGTATTAAGCTATGCATACATACATGATGCTGTTTTGTTTATAGTTGTTTAAGCAACTTAATTAATTATAATTGGTTTATAAATTATGTTTAAAATCATTATTTTAAACATTATTCACTTTTTTTTCCACAGATAGTCATGTTATATTATGCTTTGAATAAACGTGCAGAAGTAATATTTTGCTCGATGCGCCCTCTTGTGGCCTCAGGAGAGAAGCCAAAAGCTTTTCTTCACCCTAACTGAAATTATGCATTTTAAATTTGAATATAATTCGAATTTTGATCATATTTAAGTACAAAATTCGAATTTAGTTTTTCAGTCATTTTGACAGCTCTAGTAAGGACATCATTAAAGTAGTCCATGTGACATCAGTGGTTCAACCGTAATGTTATGAACGCCGGCTCCTGCGTCAGCAGCACCTCACATATGCATCGTGGTACTCTTGTGAACGCACTTCGAAGACTGACATGGAAGAAATTGTTGAATAAATTTGTTATTTTTGTTTCCTTTGCACACAAAAAGTATTCTTGTAGCTTCATAACAATAAATTTGAACAATGTCTTTACTACCTTTCTGGGCCTTGCCAGTTGCGTTGCTGTCTATGGAGGGTCAGAAAGCTCTCGGATTTCATCAAAAATATCTTAATTTGTGTTCTGAAGATGAACGAAGGTCTTACGGGTTTGGAACGACATTAGGGTGAATAATTAATGACAGAATTTTCATTTTTGGGTGAACTATCCCTTTAACAGTGTTATTAAATTATTATTGTTTTTAAACATTGCTGTTAGATGACGGCAAGGTAATCTGAATGGAAAATAAGCATGCACAATTAAATATCCAATACTGATACTGATCAATAAAAAAAAAAAAATCTTAATATCACCCGAGAACCAATTTGCTATATATGTATTGTTGCTATATATTGTAATAAGAAAAATAACAATTAGAATAAGCTGATGTAGTGTAATGTAACATTACAAATATAGTTTGCTCTGTTCTCTATTTCTAGGTGTGATTTTTGTTGTTCTTTACTACCGATTTCTTCATCCAAAATCTACGGAGATCCTCCAGAGTCTCAGACTCCAAATGAGCCTGGCAACTACTGACAGAACAACCGATGTGGACTGCAAGGACACAACACTCGAATCCTCCACACACAATCATGGCACTTTCTCAGTGACTGGTTTTGCTCCTGACAAGCAGGCCGGAGGTTCTTCTGTTCAGCCTCTAGAGGGCGACTGGCACCATCATCATATGTTAATACATCTGGCTCTCAAAACTGGAAACACAGACAAGATCAACTGCATGTATGGAGACAGAGGGCTTTCAGTCATCCTGGAGAATGATGATGCACCCGACATAGACTCTGGAGGGGACGGTTGTAACCAGCCAAACATGGAAGCAGGTGAACAATCTAAAAGTAGTCCAGTTGAAAACCGTGAAGGATTTTCTGTTGCTGAAGTGAGACAGCAGTCTCCAGAGAAGGGTGCAGTGTATAACACCTGCCCTGCAGACTGCAGTAGCACTGTTTACTTCAGTGCAGAACCCCACTCCTCTTATAGTGTCAGTGATGCTACGTTAGATAAAGAGAGTGTGGCTGTGATCAGTCCTATTATGAATGGAGCTGCGCTGCACCTGACTGCCAAACAGCTGTTAAACAGGAACCCATGTTATACCTCAACTCCAATACCAGACCTCAAAACAATGCAGAGTACAAGTCCTCGATTAGGAGGGGCGAGAAGACAGGTGCATTTTTAATACTAGAATTTATTTGGGATAAAGCTGGTAAATATTTTCATTTTGCTAGGTTTTAAGTATAATGACGATCAGTTGAAGTGTTGCTAATACAACTCATTACAACTCCAATTTTCAATTTATTACTTACATTTTCTTTAAGTGGTCATTCAAAATTCTTTCATTTACCTCCATTAAACCTATAGAACTCTGGTTTATTGTTAGCAAATATTATAACCACTATAAACTGGCAGTTATCTGTATCTGCAGTTTGGTACCATTAGTTATAAGCTCAGTGAATTCAAATTGGTTTACATTTACTATGTACGTTTACTATAAGTTACATTGACATATTTTACTTGCTGCTCTTTTTTTTTTTAACATAATGTTTGATACATTTCTGTGGTTTTATATATATATTTGCATGTATTTTTTACATTTTGTATAATTTGATCTAAATTTTATTTTATCAAGTGCAAAGGGAACACATATAGTATTTTATAACAATTGTTATATTTATGGTTAATCTGTGGAGAAAATAGTTTTTTAAATAATTGTATAAATCATTGTCAAAATAAGTTTAAAAACGTTTGTACTAAACATTCTGCATTTACACTTTTTAGAACTCTTCAAACACTTTTTTAAAAATGTGTACTAATATAAAGCATGGTCATGAACCATTCAATGCTAATTTAGACATGTCTTTGTACATTTTCTTTCTGTTTATACTGCCCATCTATTTGTCTGCATGTCCTCAGATGGGAATAAAAATCTTTTAAATGTTTATGATTCTGTCATTATAGCTGTTCATCAGACAGCAGAGGGCACTATTGCATTCAGTTAGGGTTTGTGCAAAGACACATTCAGAATTACAGGAGTAGTGGCATAAACAAAAAAAACAATTCTTTGTTTTTATTTTATGGAAAGATGTAGTGACTTTATCCACAGACAAACTTTTGGCACATTACTTCATACACATTCAAAACAACCATATTAAAAGACAACCAAATGCAAATTCATTTTCTAATAATCCATATATTTTTATGAAATTAAAATATTGTTGAAACACTTAAACTGAATGAGTATGGAATGAGACAGTGGAAGTGAGCCTCTTGGTTACATTATTAAAATGCTGCATGTGTTCAATGAACACCAAAGGGTGAAATAAGGACAGGAACATATTTGATATATCTGACATTTCTGGACCATAAAGTTGGACCGAACAGTGCTCACGCACGGATGGATTTTACCTATAGCACCATGTAGAAAATTGATACTATCCTGTGAAAAATCTAGTAGAAACAGAGGTGATTGTCTTCTATGCATAATTAATACTTGCTTGAAGAAGGCATACACTGTAAGAATGAAAAGATACTCTGATCACCACACTGACAGAACCACTTTTTAAAAAAGCATCTATAGGTTTTCCACATCAAGTATCTTTTCATTTTTACAGTGAATTTTTCTAAAATTAAGGCACAGACCATCATTTTGTTTTGTCGGTTAACAAAATATGACAAATGAAGAGAAATCCTTCACAGAGGTCATGAAAACCCTGAGCTCCAAGACAAAGCTTTAGTATAATAAAAGTGTTTGTAACAGACAGACATTTTGCTTAAATAAAAAAGATATTAGCCAAGTTAAGCCAACTAAAGAATGACATCTCAATAAAAATAGGTGTCTGAATTGTCCACGTGGCCAAACCTAATTTCAGACAAAATTCATTCTAATTAAAAAATACAGTCTTTCAAGTCAAGCATATTTAAAGCTCAAGCATATTATTTTTTCTCCACCTGTTTTACATGTCAAAGTGAATTCTTCATTAAAACAAATTACATTAAAGGTGCAACTCAGTCATTTTCCCTCATTGATGTTCTACACAAAGAAATTAATAGCAGTTTAAAACATTTAAAATCATGAAGTCAACCGTTTAATCAGTCACTTAATAAGAACTGATTTATTTTACATGGAGCAAGATCAAGTGTACATTTGTTGAAGTTGCTTACTCACTCGTGGAATAAATTAATCACGTCGAATAAAGCATTTCTACTGTGTTATAATCAGTGTTGGGGAAAGTTACTTTTAAAAGTAATGCATTACAATATTGCGTTACTCCATAAAAAAGTAACTAATTACGTTACTTAGTTACTTTTTATGGAAAGTAATGCATTACGTTACTTTCGCGTTACTTTTTAAATCTGGACAGGGCTTGCTTGTTTTGGATCATCGAAGGTCAGAAGCAAAGACATTGGTTAATAGAATGGGATTAAATACATAAAGGATATTTGTGTTGTTTAACATTTAATTATTGCAGATTTGCGTCATATTCTGAGTTGCATTATTTTTATTCATTTTGAGGAATACTGAATCTGTGTTTTTTTTTGTGAGTGAGATGAATTAATGCATATTTATATTTATTTTAGAACTACAGTAACATCTTCCGATTTCTCTCAACATGGGGACAGGAGAGCTGTCAGTCAATAAATTGGAAAAAATAAAGTAACTTGCGTTACTTATTTGAAAAAGTAACTCAGATATTCTCTTGTAAATTAAAAAGTAATGCGTTACTTTACTAGTTACTTGAAAAAAGTAATCTGATTACGTAACTCGCGTTACTTGTAATGAGTTACCCCCAACACTGGTTATTATCAGTTAATTAGGACATTTTTAATTAGGACATTGCAATGGCAAAAAGCGTCTCAATGTACATACATTTACCCCTAACTAAAAAGGTTGCTTTTTCATCCATGCCACGAGGTGTCAGTATAGGTGTCATCAGTATAAGTACAAAACGACTATCAGCGCAACATAAACAAAAAATGTACTGAGTGCACCTTCAAAAACACAAATGCTTCACTAGTAGTGCCAGTGCCACCAGAAGAGATGTCCCAAAACGTATTTTAAGCATGATAGCTTTTCCCATATTTAAGTCCCTTATTGTATCACAAAAATGTTTAATAGCTACTGTATAATATTTCCTCAACCCTCGTTGCTTCAGAGACTTTAATAGTAGCGGTTGAGGCTGCGCGTGGCCGGCATGTCCGGCTGTCCGTTCATCCAGATCTCCCGGATAATCCGCTCGCGTTCCTCTAATCGCTGCGCGCGCTCCAGCTCCTCCGCGGAGGTGAACACGTTACCGAGCGTCCGTTCAAAGCGCCGGTGGCGGCGTGCCGACAGGTCGGAGTTATTGTCCCAGTCCGAGTCGCTGTCGCTCGTGTCGCTGGTGCTCTCCGCAGTCTTGCCTGTTTTCTTGGGCGCTTGTTGCGTTTTGCAGTCGGTTCGACAGGAGATCTGCACCACTAACGCGATGAGAGTGAGAACCAGTCCCAAACACACTCCACACACAAAATACAGTGCCGCCCGTTCCGGGTGATCTGCAGAAACAGTTCAGAAGGTTAGTAACAGTTTTCATTGGACCACTGTTACGGTCTATGACGGAATACAAAGTAGGCCTGGTTTGTAATCATTTGTTTAAAGCATAATAACTTGAACACACCTCTTCTTTAGTAATCTTTTTGATTTCTACATTAAGAATTTAGCCTAGCTATATGTGTGTACGTATGTATGGAAGCATTCAGGTGGCATATCTATCCTGATAATAAAGGAAGTTGAAATGATTGAAACATTTAAAGGATGAAATTCTAAGTAATAATCTTTTATTATGCATGATTTCTTTCAAATGAGCCATTTTAATACAAAAAGGATCTGTTAATTAACACGTTTGTTCTGTCGGCTATTTAAACACGTTTTGTGTCATTTTGAGTACATAATTGGCATAAATTGTGTAACTATAACACATTAGGGTGTAGAAAGTTGAAGAACACATGGTTGGGTTAAAAGTAACACAAAATGTGTTGTCCTTAACACAGAGGTGTGTTAAGAAACAACACAGGTTGTGTTGTTTTTAACACATCCTTTTTAAGAGTGTAGGCTAATATAATATACTCTATACATTTTATTATTGTTGAAATAGTATAAATATCTGAAAAAAGGGAAGAAAAATCAGTCATGTGGAGCAACCCAAAGTTTTACCAAGAAGCATGTACAGTAAGGCTGCTCAATTCTGGCAAAAATTGATTATTTTACTTAATATTGAGATCGCGATTAAAGTGAAAGTTTCTTTCCCCTCTTCTTCACAGTGGATTTCCTTGTACTTTAAATATAATATATATATTAATGATTAGTAGTTTTCAGTAAAAACTACTGAGAAATCAAAAAATATATATAAAAGGTTTAGATTATATAAAAAAACAAACATCTAAAATGTTACATAAAATAAATTTAACAATTTTTTGCCATGTAAAGCAAGGAGTGCCAATGTAGATATAACCATCATCGTATAACCAAAGTATAAGCATCATCGCTAAAAGGAATGTGGCGCTGTTATCTTATGATTATTCACAAGATTATCTTTTGTTCAACTGTTGGAAGACAAAATTGTAATTGAAGATAAAATTCAATTAATCGCCCAGCTTTAGTACAGAGTATAATTTTGGGGCTGTTAGTGTAGTGTACCAAACCTGTTTTCACCTGCTATGAAGGAGTAAGCAGCCAGTGCATTGCTTACTAAAGACATCTCCTCAGTAGTGGCTTGCCTTTCATTGAGTAACCATTTCATCCACAGATGCTCTCTGGGTCACTTATTGTGTGGTACTGAAAGAAAGTAAAAGAGGGAGAGACCGCAAGTTAAAACCGGTCTGAACCCACCTTCATTTTTTAAAATCCCTATAAAGAGAAGCGCTGAACTGTAGCTTATAATGATGTTGTTTTAAAGAGTGTAATTATATTGGGATTTCTGGCTGTACATTTAGGCTGTACCATAACCTCATGTCAGAGAAAACTATTTTTACAGACAGGCTGGAAATTTCCGAACAGCAGAATAATGCTATATCTTACTGTGCAACCACAGACATTGTAACAACCTAAAGTTTAATTTCTCCTGATCAAACTGTCACACAAGATCAGACAAATAAAAATATTCTGATTCAACATATACATTATTATTCACTGACAAGATGATTGACGATTGCAGTTGAGACAGTAATAATAGAAATTATAACTTTCATAAAGATTTAATTATAGAATGCCATCCTACCCCTGACATTCTGTCATTCTCCCTCCCCCTCGTAAAATCACTTCTAGGCATCAGGGAAAGTTTACCAGTAAATTATTGCCAAATTGCCTGGACATATTGGCTGGTTTTTGTCTTTCATCCCAAGATTTTATAAAACAAAGGAGGTTGGAACACAAACAACAGAGAATCAGTGTAGCAGGATGGTTGGACAGAAAGCTTGAGTTTTTCAGCAATAGTCTGGGCTGAAGGTAGATGGCACTCAGGGCCAGTCATTCACGTGGGTGTAATGGAATGTCTCAGTCTGTCTCACTTAGAGGAAGACAGGCTCCTCTTTTACTGTAAATGAGGAATTAGACTGGTGGCACTTCCAACAAATATAGGTACACATTGGTAATTTTAAAAACATCAAATGTCTTTGTCCTTAAAATTGTGATTTTTGCCCTCTCCGACCTCAGATGGATTGACCTTCTTTACCGTATCTGTATCAAACCATTAGACTACATTCATAAAACAATGTCATCATTCTGACATAATGTGCTGATTACTGATATTTCATTCATTGTAGTGAAAACTATTTTATTAACTCATTTTAATAATTGCAGGAAGAAATTTTCGTTCCATTTTATATATACAGTTGAGGTCAAAGGCTTACATCCCCCTTTCAGAATCTGCAAAATGTTAATTATTTTCCCAAAATAAGAGGGATCATACAAAATGCATGCTATTGTTTATTTAGTACTGACCTGAATAAGATATTTCACATATATGTGATATGTTTACATGTAGTCCACAAGAAAAAAAAAATTGTTGAATTTATAAAAATGACCCCGTTCAAAAGTTTACATCCACTTAATTCCTAATACTGAATGATCCACAGCTGTGTTTGTTTTGTTTAGTGATAGTTGTTCATGAGTCCCTTGTTTGTCCTGAACAGTTAAACTGCCTGCTGTTCTTCAGAAAAAATCCTTCAGGTCCCACAAAGTCTTTGGTTTTCCAGCATTTTTGTGTATTTGAACCCTTTCCAATAATGACTGTATGATTTTGAGATCCATCTTTTCACACTGAGGACAACTGAGGGACTCATATGCAACTATTACAGAAGGTTCAAACACTCACTGATGCTCCAGAAGGAAAAACAATGCATTAAAGGAACACTCCACTATTTTTGAAAATAGGCTCATTTTCCAACTCCCCTAGAGTTAAACAGTTGAGTTTTACCGTTTTCGAATCCATTCAGGTGATCTCCAGGTCTGGCATAGCACTTTTAGGTGTAGCTTAGCATAGATCATTGAGTCTGATTCAATGATCTATGCTAAGCTACAGTTAAAAGTGCTACCGCAGACCTGAAGATCGGCTGAATGGATTCGAAAACAGTAAAACTCAACTGTTTAACTCTAGGGGAGTTGGAAAATGAGCCTATTTTCAAAAATAGTGGAGCGTTCCTTTAAGAGCTGGGGGGTGAAAACTTTTGAACAGAATGGAGATGTGTACATTTTTCTTATTTTGCCTAAATATCATATTTTTTCATGTAGTACTGCCCTTCAGAGGCTACAGAAGATAGTTACATGTTTCCCAGAAGATAAAATAAGTTAAATTTACCCTGATCTTCAAATTAAAAAAGTTTTCACTCCCCGGCAATTTTATTTATTTGATGAAAATAATTTATGTGTAACCTGCCACTGTTTAATTGATCAAAAATTATGAAGTATTTTTACAATTTAAAATAACTTTAAAATATTTATTACAATTAAAATTTTTAATAGCCATTACTTCAGTCTCCAGTGTCACATGAGCCTCTATTTCTTATTATTAGTGTTGAAAACAAATACTTTTGTGGAAACTGTGATATATTCGTAGGATTCTTTGATAAATAGAAAGTTCAAACGAACAGCATTTATTTGAAGAAAGTATAATTTCTTTCAAAACAAAATCTTGAGCCCAGACTATCTTTATTATTAAATTTTTATAACATAAAGTTCTGCTTCTTTTGTTTTGTTTTGTTTGTTTTAGATATGATAATATTAATGTAATGTTGCAAAAATCGCTAACTTTAAAATCAATAGCAAATTAAACAGCTTGTATAAAATTTTGTTTAAATCTCTAAATGTAAGAATTTAAAGCCTTATTTTGTACCATATATGTGGAAAGGGTCTGTTCTTCTGTGCAATCTTACATTACGACGCTCTACATTCACCCTCATTACTATCTTATAATTATGAATCTTTCCCAGGCTCTGCACCATAATTTTATGTTTAAACAATATTTTAAGGTGTAAATACTCAAAACACTGTGAAGCCTCCGTGAGAGGTGCAAAGTGCTACGGTCTGTAATGCTTGTACTCTCTCACAAAAATCACAGCAACATGAATTAATTACTATTATTAATACTCAAGTACTTTATCTACTGATAGTGTTTTAGTTTTGTGACTACAATTTGTGATTAATTTTCCCTGATTAACACTATAAATTTAGTCTCACCTGGAGTGTGTTGATACATTGTGGTCCATCTATGCGATCTCACACTGTAGAGAAAAGAGGACAAAAGAAAGTAAGACAAAATGAGAAAGAAACTTCAGCATCCTCCCTTTGGCTCTTCAGAACTGATGGACAAAGCAAAAGAAAAAAATGAAGGGCTACTGTATGAGTCATAATGATCTATATAACAGAGCAGCCCCCTCAGCTTTACGATAAGACCTTCAGTGGAAAAACTCTCTTTCCCAATCTGTGTTCCTGTGTTTGTGTGTGTCAGAGATCGTACATCACACAGTATCACTATGAGTCCTTTTCCGGTACACACACTCCTCCATTCAACCACAGTGATTAGTCAAGACCAAAACCCTCCCTAACTAGACAGAAAAACAAAAGAAAAAAAACAGTAATGTGTGTTTAAGTTGTATGGCGTTTGCCTAAGCCAGGCCAATTATCAGACTATTTGAAAGCCACAGTGCGTAAAACACAAATTTCTGCTTACTAAATTAGGACATGAACTTGTAAGAATGAATCATATCAGGATGTGATGTGAGAGCAATATATTGAGAGATAACTAGTCAGTGAGCATTCCTTTCTAATTATGCACATGTAAAGTTGAAAAATCATTATCTGTGGCCCTATTTGTACTTCAGGCTATTTTTTTGGTTGGAAAACAGTATATGACTAAACTGTTGTTCTTGTGGTTTATATCCTTTCATGTTTTTGGAAACTGCACTGGACTTTTCCCAGGACAAGTCCTTCTTTCCCACAGAAATCTCATGGGTCGTATCCTGTCTTCATATTAAAATAGATCTAAATTGCTTAACTTCTTCCAATATCAATACGAGGTTAAGAAAGAGCTGTAATTTAATCTTAAAACTTGAAAAGGATGATTACAACAGCTTAATTAACTGAATTCAGTGGTAAAGATTTTTTTAAGTTTACACAGCATAACTATTTTATGAAAATATTTGACTAATTAATGAGAGATAATCAAAAGCAAGGGGGAATTTAGCATTACATCACTTGCTCACCAGTGGATCCTCAGCAGTGAATGAGAGTCTAAACATCTGATGAAAGCATTACAATAATCCACAAGTAATCCACATAGCTCCAGTCCATCAATTAACATCTTGTGAAGTAAAAAGCAGCGTGTTTGTAAGAAACAAAACCATCATTAAAGGATTAGTTAACTTCCAGATTAAAAATGTCCTGAAAATGTACTCGCCGCATGTCATACAAAATGTTCATGTCTTTTTTTCTTCAGTCGAAAAGATATTTTGAGGAAAACATTCCAGGATTTTTCTCCATATAGTGGACTTCAATGGGAGCCAGGGGTTGAAGTTTCAAATTGCCGTTTCAGTGCAGCTGCGAAGGCCTCTACACAATCCCAGCCAAGGAATAAGAGTCTTATCTAGCGAAACGATTGGTCATTTAAAAAAAGTAAAAAATATACATACTTTTTAACCACAAATGCTCGTCTTGCACTAGCTCGACCTGACACATTACGTAATCACACACATGTGACGTAGGTGGAACCAACCCAGTGTTTACAAAGCGAACGTGCAAAGAAAGTCAAACTCATTTACAAAAAAAGGAAAACAATGATGTCGGATCATTTTGAAGTTGGAGGAGAAAATGAGATGGAGTTTTTTGCCCTACCGTACCTTTTTGAACCGGAGTACACAGACGAAGAGCTAACCACACGTGACCTTTGCAGTGTGATTATGTAATGCGTGAAGTCTCACATCGCAGAGCTAATGCAAGACAAGCATTTGTTGTTAAAGTATAAACTTTTTTTTTTTTTAGAAAATGACCCATTGTTTCACTAGATAAGACCATTATTTGTCGGCTGGGATCATGTAGAGCCCTTTGAAGCTGCATTGAAACTGCAGTTTGGATCTTCAACCCGTTGGGTCCCATTGAAGTCCACTATATAGAGAAAAATCCTGGAATGTTTTCCTCACAAACCTTAATTTCTTTTCGACTGAAGAAAAAAAAGACATGAACATCTTGGATGTCCAAATGATCAGGAAAACAGTGTTTGCTTGTGCATATTTCTCTCCTGATTCAGACGAGACAACTTTTTCACTGGAGAAATCAAAATTATGGATCAAGGACTCAAATTTTAGCCGGAAGCCAGAAAGTTAAAACATCTTGATGGATTTTCTTTCTTACAAACATGCAGCTTTTCACTTCACAAGACATTAATTGATGGACTGGACTGGAGTTGTGTGGATTATTGTGATCTTTATATCAGCTGTTTTGATGGCACCCATTCACTGCAGAGGATCCATTGGTGAGCAAGTGATGTAATGCTAAATTTCTCCAAATTAAAACTCATCTACATATTGGATGGCCTGAGTGTGAGTACATTTTTAGCAAATTTAGATTTTTAGGTGAACTATTTCTTTAAATATTATTAAATTGAATTAGGTATGACTGATATCGAGTCTCTACTATTATGTATTCTTTGACCGACAGGCTTGGCTTCAAACAATGCAGTGTAAACATTAGTAAGTCATTGAAAGAAAACTCTGAATCCATTTTTCAGCACATGCCTCATTATCTGTTGTAATGCCTAAATACATTCATCAGAAAATTGTTTTTGTGAAGCTTAGTCACAGGTCCCATAATTTTTTAATTAATTACACCACTATGTTTCCCTAGAATTGTCCATTCAAATACTTTGAGAGAGTTTTCACCATTGTTCTCCGGATGGAACCACCATTATGTACCGCAATCAAGAGAAGAAAGCAGCAGCTCATTTTTGGCAGGGCTTTATTGAAGCCAGCAGGCTGTAGTATTTCAGGGCCTTGACCAACGGAGCCTGGCTTTAATCAGACACCGAGCCAAACCTGAGCTTCAAAGCTGGCATGAGCCAATACTCTTTCATTTGACTTCACAAATAGATGTCAAGCAAACAAGTCACTTTAAAATTATGTTGTTCCTCATTGAACAAGTTGAGCAGCGTGGCTGTTCTCTCGTTTCAACTCTCGCATAGTCACAAATAACAAACTTATTTTACTTTTCCAGGCTCTAATAGTTTTAACAGGAATCCAAGCACCTGTTTCTCAACTATATTTAACTTATATTTATATAACTTATGCTTTTTTGTTGATTTTGATTGCTTCTGTTGTCCTCATTTGTAAGTCGCTTTGGATAAAAAGCGTCTGCTAAATGACTAAATGTAAATGTAAACTATAACATGATATTTAAGTTGAGACAATAATGGGTGCACAACTGCTGTCATTAGTATTCACAGCCAGGGTTAAAATGAGTCAATGTCAACTAGACCTCCCACAAGCATGCCAACCAGCCTGCTGCAAAGCATTGTTGACCAAGCAGGTCACTTTTAGCTGGCCAGGCATTTTCCTGTGCCATCCGTGTCAATTCTTCAAGAACAAACAAACAAACAGGTGGAGTGGTAAACAGGTGCAGTTTGCAAGTGTGTTTTGAGTTATTAAAGGAATAGTTCACCCAAAAAATGAAAATTCTGGTATCATTTACTCACCTTCAATGCAAACCTGTATGACTTTTATACTTCTGTGGGAAAATATATTTTGAAGAATGTTTCTCCTTTTTTTCCCATTCAGTAAAAGTCAGTAACAACTTTAGACCCCACTGACTTTAATTAATATTTTTTTTATACTATACTAAACTTTACTATAAGAATCGGTTAAAAGTCCTGCTTTTCCACATGCTAAATGTTGACTGCTAAAAAAAGAGTTTCCTACAAACTTTTCTTTCAGCATGAAAATAAACAGAAACAGACCACATCTTGTGGAAAAAACATTACATAAACTTTTTCATCAGAGGATTAGGATACAAACTGCGTACAAGTGCAAGACCATTTAAATCCCTAAATATCAGAGGGAGCCTCTTATTGTCCTTATGAAGTGGCCTTATAAAAATATGTCCTCTCGCTGGGGTCTGTTTATCATGAACTTATGAGATCCAGCGGAGAAATGAAAGAGCAGAGGGAGTTACCGAGACTTCATCATTGTTTTCATAGGAGAGAGAGATTAAACTAGTCCTCACAAAAAAAGATTCATTAGGGAGTTTCAGATATCTATTTTTAGAGGAAATGTTTAAAAATAGAGGACAACATACAGTTTTCCAACAGCTGTTTCTGATCAGAAGGAATGACAAAATGGAGCTCTGCTTACAATATTCAGAGAAAGAAAGATATAAGATGTATGACAATGCATACATACATGAGTATAAGACAAAGAGAGTGTAAAACAAAGGAATCCCTCCACTAGTCTTGTCTTTGCTATATAATCAAACCCCTCAAATATATACAGAGTAAAATGAGTGAGTGTGAGCATTCCATCAGACATGAAGCAAACTGAATTCCCACCACTAATGACTGTTTTTTTAGTATCGTTCAATTTTTATCCTATCCAGAGGTTGTAACCACAAACCACTCAATCTCCTCACACCTCATAAAGGAAGATTACGAGAGAGGGCACATATGAATGCTCAAAATGTCTATGTCTGATCACATAATCCCACACACACATTTGACTCTGCCTAATAATTCACTTCACCTAATCCACTATGAGCCTGCATGGTTTATAGACTAAACTGAAGTGCACATTTACAGAGACACTGTCATTTAAAAAGAACAGGAAGCAACGCTTTTAACATTTTTCAGTAACTAAGCTCTAGTCTTTATCTTCTACACAAAGGATAAACAGAAGTTGTTTTCTATTATGATTTTTATTTGATGTATTCAGTTTTTAACGGGAAAAGGATTGACTTTCAATCTCTTATTGAACATATACTGTTAAACATTAATATTCAAATAACAATTTCATGTTTCATATTAAATCATATTTCATATTAAATCTTCTATATTGTTCACTTTATACATATACAAATTGATAAGCTCCATGATTTACTAATTTAGTTACTAAAAATTATAAATAATAACTTTTAAGTTTTAAATAGTATTTTTTTTAATTAAAATTATGAAATAATATAAATAAATACATTTCCTGTGATATTTTAAGATTTATTGGATAGACATTGTCATTCTAAAGAGCAC